TATATCGACCACTGTGATGATCTCTCGTACCATTCACGGAGGTCATATATATGACACACAGATATGACAAACAAAATAAAGTGGTGTTGAAAGCAGAAGCAAGCAGCCTCCTTCTTTTCCTCAACGGAACACAACAGTTATGACACCATTCACCAGAGTTTGAATCTTTGTATTTTGTTCTGTGTTTTATATTAATTAAATAAATTAAATAAGTAAATAAACTCACATTGCATGGCCAAAGTGAGGGAGAGGAAGCTACCAGAAGAACAAAATGTATCACCAGTAGATTATTTCCAGCTTTGACACGTTTTAAATTAAAAGATCTCAGTAAGATGAAATTCACAAGCACATTATTGACACAGTAAACAAATATTTCAGAGTATTAACTCTATTACAGGACACGTTTGATTTTTCATCATTTTTGTAGATCGCACTTTGAACAACCTTAATTTGGAAACAGTTCTGACTGGACTGACCATCTTAAAACCTTTCCAATCTTACATGTTTAACGTGGTTTGTGTGAATGTTATACTTTGTACTTGAACTTTTTCAGTTTCGTCAGTTTTACTTCTCCTGGTTATTCAAAGAACATTCTCTGCTTATGAAGCTCATGCCACGGCAGCAGCAGCTAGCAGTAGCAAGTCTGGGACACTTTCAGCAGGAATTTTTGCAATATTTGTGCAGTAATATCAGCGTAATATGAAACTGGCAGCTGTGTCAAAATTTATGAAGTAGTTTTCTCAAGATTCTTTTAAAACCAGTGTTTAAAGAGGGAATTAATGGCATTTAGGAAGTGACCCTCTGTCAGACTAGTAAGGAGTTTATAAAAACGGTATGAGCTGAGCCACTTCAAAACTGGAGTGTTATCAAAAAACATAATAATCTTCAAAATTCCATAGTATTTTGTGTGAAATACTTTAATAATTATTTACACTGTTGTCAATTTCACACCACAAAAACAAAAGATGAAATTTCTGCTGAAAGTGTCTGCAAGCTAGCCATTAGCTTGCTAGTTTAAGCTAGCTGATGGCATATTTAATTAACTTTTGCCAGCTATCTATTGCTGTCACTATTTGCACTCGCAAATTATTATAGAATTCTACATAAAAACATTCATATTGAAGTTTCAATGGGAATAAAAAGATTTATAAAATACTGGTTTAATAAACAGTTATGAATCGGAGTTGTTAGGAAGACAGAAAATTCCTTTGGTTTTGTTCGGAAAAGATCAGGATCAAACTCGTTTTTCTCCAATCTAAGGATGTTCAATAAACTACCGTAATTTCCGGACTATTGGATGCACCTGAATATAAGCTGCGCCCAGTTTTGGTAAACGATTTCTCGAGGGCGGTCATCCAAGACTCCCACGAGCTCAGAGTGTCATTTTAAATGCATGATTCACTGACTGTATTTTGATTGTCTGCAAACACCTGTGCCCCCAGGGTGAGGAGGAGAGAACGGGGAGAGGCGGGGGATGAAGTCCCCCCCCCTCACTGTGACCTGTTCTGTAATTTCATTGGCCAGATTTTTTTTTTTTTTTTTTTTTACCTTTATTTATGCATGTAGTCTCATTGAGTCACGAGGACACACCCCACTAGAGAGACGTGTACTGGACAGCTATGTGAGCACCCGGGTGTGACGAGGCTAAATGTTTTGGAGGCATGAAGCTCGTTAGCCCGTCAAAAAAAAAAATCCATAAATTAGCCGCAGCATTGTATAAGCCGCGTTGTTCAAAGCATGTGGAAAAAAGTAGTGGCTTATAATACGGAAATTATGGCATCAACATAAGGTGAGCTACTAATAATTCATAATTTCTCTACCAAATCTTTTCTTCAAATATCTGAACTATTTAATATTTTTCACAAAGTCTCAGATTAATTGTATGTGCCCATTACATATGGTCTGAGCCTGAGGCACACCAAAGTTTAAGATACAGACACACTATTTTCTAAGTACATGTCAAAGCAGTGCACTATTTTTATTTGAACTTCTAACCTGTTATATTATAACTTCACATCGTCACGCCCTTGGTGGTTTTCCAGTTTTGCACCAGCTGCTGTTGGTAAAAATGTTGATATTTTAAACGTAGAGCAGACAGAGCGACTGCAAAGAGCCATCGGTTCTCTGTTTGAGGATGTCGTCAGTGGGATACGTCTCCCCTCACTTCCCCCTTTCTCTCTCCTAGCTCTCAGAGTCGGTGTCAGATGGACACAGTGGAGGTTGTGCTCCTTGCTGCTTCTGTGTGCAGGAGGAGGAGAAGGAGGCTGTTTGGTTTTGGGTTTGAAGGGGTTTTATTGTTCCATTTATCCAGGTTTCACAGGAACAGGAGCAAAAAGCGTACAACAGGTTACAAACTATCAGGTGCATCTTAACATCTCCATCTGCATCTGGCTCAGGTGAGTGGATTATGGACTTTTACTGAACAATTCTGACCACAGGACTTGAAAAATACTGTTTTAACTTCTAAAATTGTTTTTGTCAGTGTGCATGGCTCTCCAGAGATCAGCAAGACATGGTTTGGGAAATGTGTTCAATGCCAAATCAGAGACAGTTTCAGCCACAGCTGAACATGGAGCCGGTGTGTCTGGACTCCACAGCTCCAGACTAACCTGACACACAGTGTTGTTATTCCAAAATGTTAGTCTTTGTGTAAACTATTGCAGTAGTTATGGTTCAAGAGGAATCACCTGAACTGACTGAGTTTTAAGGCATGTTTCCATAATGTTTTAAAGAAAATAAGACTAAAGTGTCAATGGTGTAAATTACTTCAGTTTCTTCAGAAACCACAGTATAAACATGCCATGAGAACTTTGTGGGGTTTACAGGGACAGACAGTACTAACCAGCAGAAGACAACGCTCAAAATGCGCTTTTTCTGTAACGATGGCCAAATTTTTAGTAGGTATCAAGAAAATCAAGGCCTATTCACAGTTGCCGGTGTGTTTATTTTCTAATTAAAGAATATCAAACTAATGCTCGTTTGTTCCGCAGATTGACCTATGGGGGTCGTTTACCATGGATACAACAGATCAACCAAACACGACTCAAGAGGAACCTTCTCTACTCAAAGCCACATCGTCCAACTGCTGCTTTTCAATGAATGATGAGAACCTCCTCAACCTGGATGACAGCACCAAGCTGGTTGGAGTTCAGGTTATTCTCATCCTGGCTTACAGCACTATCATCTTGTTCGGAGTCACAGGAAACTCTTTGGTGATTTACGTCGTGTACAAGTTTAAAAACCTGCGGACCGTGACTAACTTCTTCATTGTGAACTTGGCTGTGGCTGACTTGCTGGTCAACACACTGTGTTTGCCGTTCACCCTCGTCTACACGCTCTACGACGAGTGGATATTCGGTCAGGTTTTGTGCTTCATGCTGCCCTTTGCTCAGGGCATGACAGTGCACGTATCCACCATGACGCTGAACATCATTGCTCTGGACCGCCACAGGAGCATTGTACATCACATGGATACCAAGATGTCCAAAGACTTGTGTGCAATGGTCATTGTCTTCTCTTGGGCCATTAGCGCCTTACTGGCCAGTCCGCTGGCCATTTTCCGGGAGTACGGTTCCTTCAGTTTTTCCCCAGACGGTTCCATTCAAGTGTGTACAGAGAAGTGGCCAGGAAGCAGCATGAATGGACGGATCTACAGTATGTCAATGCTTCTGGTCCAAGTGGGCGTGCCTTTGGTCATTAATTCTGTTGCGTACATACGCATTTGGAACAAACTGAAGAAACACATGACGTGTGGTCGAAACGACCATCAACGAAGGAGCAAAACCACTAAGATGATGTTGACCATGGTGGTGGTGTTTGTCGTAAGCTGGTTGCCCTTCCATGCATTTCAGCTGGCGATCGACATCGACAGCACCGTTCTGCATATGAAGGACTTCAAGCTGCTCTTCACCGTGTTCCATATCATCGCGATGTGCTCGACGTGTGTGAACCCCATCCTGTATGGGTGGATGAACAACAACTACAGGACAGCCTTTTTGTCTGTGGTCAAATGTTACCGGCCCTTAAGCGTGAGGTATAGATGCTCTAAAGATGGAGAGAAAGAGAAGGATGAAGACAGGGTTTGTTCAGACTTCAGATCAACAAATCTGTAACTTGAAAATCAAAGAAGACTGAAAGTCACTTGATGATACAATGTTTTATTTTCTGCCTGGAGATTCTGCCTTTTCCAAATGAAAACCAAGGTTGTCGTTTTTTTTTCTTAAAGTAACTTAAGATTCCATTAATAAAGGGGGAATATCTTTCAAAATAACTGAGTTACTGTTTCTATTTCCACAATGAAGGCAGATCAGTTGTTTCTTACATCCCATACTGTGCACAAACAGTTTTTGTGGACACATTGAGTGACAATAAATGATACCTCAGACATTTCTGTCAATATATTTTTTTATTCTGTTTTTTGGGGGCTGTGGTGGCCATCTTGGCTTTAAATGTGCACCTAATCATTACATTTCAAAGGCTTTTATTTAAATCTGCCCATTGGTTCATGAGATATTTTGCAAACAGACGAACAGAAATAAATACAGGCCATTACATTGTTATCTGCCTTTCATCCTGGTGACAGTTTCTGTACAGGGTGTGTAAATATCACATCTGCTCTTTGAGTTTTAAAAGGTAATTTTAGGACTTGTTCATCTATCTCAGCATTGGACAGTCTTCATGACATTTTTTAAAATCTTCCCACTAAACGTTAGACGTCGAATGGATGCGCAGATCACGTCTATATTGAGTCCGTCGGTCAAGACCAATTCTAGACGTCTAACCATGACCTCACTTGTACGTCAGTATAGAGTTGCATGTTTGAACGTCGGACTTGGAGGTCATATAGACATCCAAGACAGGTGCAGGTGTGCCTTAAGTGAATCATCTTTTTTTTTTTTTTATAATCATAAGAATAACTGCACAGTTACTCTTATGATTATAAATTTGCACGACTTCGTTCATAAACCAACTGTTGCTATTTTCTGCGTTCATTTCTCTCGGAGCTTGTTCTGTTAATCCAGTAAAGAGGAACAATTTAAGGAGTGATAATTTATTCTCAAACCTTAGTCCAACTGTTTATAGTGAAATTTAAGCATTTGAGCATGGGCTTTGTTGGTTTTGAACCAGTTTGACATGATTGTCAACGAGGGAAAGAGCCGGCACCAGAGGAGGGGGCGTGCCAAAGACACCATCTTAGCACCAACATAACTGGTTTGTTCCACTTTGGAGTAAGCTGTTTTTGGGAAAAATCAGTTTTGTGTTGTGTGTTTCCTTGACTGATGAAGCCTTCTGGATGGAAGGTGAAACGTTTCAGCACAACAACAAAAAAAAGAAACGGTCCAGATGACCTGACTGAAAATTGTTGGATTGTAAACCTGGATTATTGAGCATGGACTTTGTACTAAACTAAATAACCTTCATCACTGAGGGAGAGAGAAATCCTTAGCGTTTTTGCATTGATTCCATTCACTAAATATATATTTTTGTTTGTCCCTGTCTAAAATACACAGAGAAGCACTCCATCACATCCCTGTAAGCACAAAGAAAACACTTAATATAGATTCTTCCTAAACGTTTTAATATTTTATGATGTAATTTTTCAGTAGCTGTCACAAGACATAGAGTACAATCATCTCAAGGCTGTTGGAAGCAGCCGAACACTAACTCGGAGGAAGTGGCTTTTTTATTTCAACTCACAAAGACAAGAATAAAACTACATTTTATTGGGTTAAAAAGATTAAATGCTTGAGCAATTCTCACCTGGTGCATCTAATTAACTTATGAGCTTTGTGCAAATGTGCTGTTAATATTCATATTAGCTTAATTTTAAGTTAAGTATGGTAATACACTTTAAAGTTTCTTACTACTGTACTTACTTCAGTTTGTTGAACAAACAGCTGAAATACTTTATTTGAATGACCAAATCAAAAACGTCCACATAATTTATCTCTTCACAAAGAATGCAAATAAAACATGGAATTTTTTTTTATGTCTGTGCGAGTCTCCGTTCATGATGACGTGAAGAATGAAGCAACAACTACTGGTATTTGCCATTTTCAACACCAAATACAAATCCCTTTTCAGCAGTGGTGCCGAAATCCTGGTTCTCGAGGCCCACTGCCCCTCACGTTTTAGAAGCTTTCCTGCTTAAACACATCTGATTCAAATCAGTGAATTACCTCCTCAGCATGTCAGCAGGTTATGAGGACACTTGTTGATAACACACTGATTTAAATCAGGTGAGTTGAGACAGGAAAATATCTAAAACATGCAGGACTGGGGGCCCTGAGGGGGCCTCTGCTTCACAGCCCACATTCTTTGGGGGAGCGCCTCAGCCTACTGAGGAATGGACGTTCTTGGACATAATCTAAACAATTGATATTTTTCAACCCCATATATGTCATTCAAGCACATTATTGCATGTTATTTGATCTAAAAGCTGAAGTGATTAAAGCAGAGGAAGATCAGAGTAAACCAAGATGGTGTCCATGGCTGGGTTCTGGGTTCTTTAGCATCGTTATCTGGGAACAGATAAACTCACTCGTTCATTTTTTGTACATGATTTGTCTTCTTCGGGGATTGATATCCCAGCAGTCAGTGGAGGAGAGTTAAGGTACAGTCTGGACAGGTTGCCAGCTCATCACCGATCTTAATGTAGTATCTCACTGTGCTGCAACTGTTGGAGACTAGTTGACAAAACAAAATTGTTAGAAATTTGAGACAAAATAGGGAAATTTTCAGTTGCGGTCTCACTGAACTCGTGTGTTTGCAACCAGAGAGCTCTGAGGTTGGACTTTGAGCAGCCAGCTTTTGAAAGCCTGCTTGCAAAATTGTATTATAGGCCTGGCGTATTATTTTGTTGTCTACCTCCACCCACATCATACTCATCTTGGCACGTTTTTTACCTGCTACCTTGGCAGCCGCCCACACATTTAAGAGATAATCAACTAGAGTACACTTTAGAAATGAAGACAGGCTAATATAGACCAATATTCAAAACTTATTATTAATCACTGAGTGGAGGCTGTCATAGCTTGGTGGTCAGTACCGCGGTCTTTTAATCCTGAGGTTGCGAGTTCAATCCCAGGTTGCGTAAGGAAGGGCATCCGACATAAAACAAATGGCCAAACCTTTCAAACGCGTTTGCTCGCTGTGGTGACCCCTCAGTAAAGGAGCATCAGAAAGGAACACTATTATTACTCATAGTAGTTTTTAGACATGCACATTTGAATGAATAGTTTTTTGTCAAAGCTATACTTTTGCGTGGGTGTTAAAATACAGCGCTAGTGCTTTTGAGATGGGTTGAAGATGCTTGTTACGAATGTGAACATTTTTTGAGAAAAAAAATTGGTGCACCATTTTTTTCAAACTCAAGCAAAAACAGTATGCACCTCTGCTACTCAAATGAGAAAACTGCGAACCATCCTAAAGGTTTCCAGATACTTTGAAAACTATTTTGCCAGTGTTGTTTACCAACAGTTGCAGCAGATACAACCTTAACACAGAGACACACAAGACAGGGAACCGTCTACTCCTAATGTTGAAATTGAGCCGTCAGTTGATCTCACATGTATGTTGTTAACTGTGGGAGAAGATGTGAAGAAAAACCTCAACCATGCGAGAAGAAAAGAAAGAAAAGTACAGTGTGCTGACAGGTACAAACACACCGCAAAGAGCTACATGCACAGCAAACAGTTAAACACACAGCAAATGCACAATATTTAGTTAAACACACAGCAATTAGTTAAATGCACAACATACAGTTAAATGCACAACATACAGTTAAATGCACAGAAAACAGTTAAATGCACAGCAAACAGTTAAATTCACAGCAAACAGTTAAATCCATAGCAATCAGTTAAGCATATAGCAAACAGTTAAAGGCACA